AGGTAATTTTGAAAAAACAAACAGACCCTTAGTATTGAGATTTTTAAGGTTATTAACCATGCATCTTAGACAATATGTTATTGTTAGTTGTTAGGATGATGTTGAACGAACTAGGAAATTATATGTCTAGTTGTTAGGAACGAAGTCGGAGAACCTAATAAGAATTCAAGAAATAAATCATCGTACTGGTTATTATAAAGTTGTCTTATTAGTCTTTTAATTCAAGAAGTGTCTCGTTAAGAGGGTAATACGACAATATACTTCTTAAATCCTATTATGTATCCCAACTTCGTCCTAAGAATTGAGATAGAACTTGTTAGATCGTTTAACTTTATCGTAACAATATATTTATCATAACGTTTTCGTATAAGACACCCAGTTGTTGATCTTATGAACACGAAAGTCAAGTTAAGCAACCTATTAGAATGGTTGGTGATGGTAACATATCTAACTTGTTATGGTGTGTTATCATCAGATTATCGAAGCAACATGCCCATACCCTACCTTCAAGTGGGATATAATGGGTTTTTTTTTTCTTCATTAACTTGGATATCCAACCCGCTATGCAAGCCGACTAATCCCAAGACGACCACATGTTTTGCAGATAGCCTAGAGTCACCGCATTTGAACCTCCGTGGCCACAAGGAGATTTTTATTCCTCATTGGATTTGAACCTAGGACCTCCAGGTACTTTGACTTTTGGAGCCAAACTCAAACCAACCAGACACAACCCTTGTGGTTTATACCAGGTTCTTTTTGGTTATTATCAAAGTAATATGTACAATTGTACTTGTAGTTTTGTGTAAAAGAATCACCGATGATTGTCTAAGATCACTTGCTATATTTATAACTAGAATAAGCAGTATTTAAAAACAAAAAAATATATATATATATATTTTGTAGCAATATGACAAATACATCTGTTTTTTGACCCAAAAAAATTAGTACGATGTTATCGTATAGAAATTTATTAACTTGGTCATTGTGATTGATCTTAATTTGTTGTGACAATATGAACTCAGTTTTATTTATGAAAGTGTTAAAATTTATTATTAAAATAAAAAAATGGATTTAAAAATAAATTATAAAAAGTTGATTGTAGTATTTATTCTTATATGATATTGGTTTTTGAGGTCACAACACACTCATTATATTTCATATGGGACAAGAAAACAGCTTAAATATTCATTTAAATCAATTAATTTTATTTAAACCTTTAATTTATTAAAGAATTTTAATCATTTGTTGCTATTGTTATGTGTTGAATTCATCTCCTAATGAATATGAAGAAACTTGTATTTGAATATTAAAATAATTTGAATATTTGATTAAGAAATAATATTAAGGTACGGAAAACATGAGGGTCGCAGGTTCTTGAAGAAAAACAAATTCATATAACTTGTGACAATTCTCAAATGGCAAGAGTAAGAGGGATCGTATCTCGACATAAACCCTTTTGTGTGTATTGTCTTTCAATGATGATTCGATACTGAGTAATGAATTTTAATATCAGAATTTGATACCAGTTAGAATGTTAGTTTAATTTATGCATGGTGCGTTTTATAGAATCTAAAAAAGCATGCAGTTAATTTAACCACAATTCCTAAATTACAGTTAAATGAAGCATTATTTTTAAGAATTAAAATGTATTACATCGATAATTAAGATAATAGTAAAAATTTTGAATATTAAAATAAAGATATATTTTGTTCTCTTTTTTTAGTTTTACATCGATATTGTTATAGTTTTTTCTGAGTATTTTAACTGGAATTTTGAATTAACAATTCATGTTCAAGCACTACTTATTCAAATGTTAATATACTCAAAAATATATATAACATGCATCTTTTTGCATAAAAATGTAATGTAAATTCAGATGTGAATATACTCATGGTTATTCATACATAATATATATCTCTCTCTCTCTCATATTTACATGTGAATATACTTTTTGATTGAGATTTTGGAGATTTCATACTCCTCGGTTGACTGTTTCTTAATCACACAATGATATAGACGTTTTTTGTATTATCTTACTTTGACTTTGTTCTAGTTGAACTCAACCCTCTATATATATATTAATTTCAAATATAATAAATGCTCGTTTTTTGATATGATTCGTCTAAAAACACGTAAGCAAATTCATCTTGAAGATTAAAATTCAAGAACAAACGATCAAATATAAAGTTATGGTTTGTGTCTTGCTTGTAAATAATCACCGAAAAGAAACGTATGACACAACAACTCTTGCAATCTTAATTAGAATACTTTACATGTTCATGTTACTCAAAAGCAAATTTTGCCAAGATCACTCTCGAGTTGCAAACAATTCTTTTCCAGGGTCGTTCTGAGTTTCAAACTTATAATTATTCGAGTTATCATACGTTTTTTATCCTAAAAAAGATTAATTTAAAATCGAAATACGATAATCGTTTTTTACATAAATATACCATTTTTTATGTGACACAATATTTCTTGTTTTTAGTATTGACTTTTATAAATGATAATTCCTATTTTGAAAACTTTGTCATTCTTTCTCAACAATATATTTTTTTAACTCTCAACTACTTTAAATTTAAAATAAAGATAAGGATGGAGGAAAAATTATACTTTTCTATAACAGATTCGGTCTCTCTCTCAACTTTTATTTTAGGATTTGGTCTCTCCCTTTAATCAATAAAATTTGGTTGCACAAACATATCTTATAAACGTAATGAGTAAAATAACTAAATAAAATTTGAAAGTTAAATATTGGGATGAAATATTTTATGTTGTCAGAAACATCACTTACATGAATTTTTTTAAACTCAAATAAAGATATATATAATTTTGATAAATGTTTTATTTTAATTAGTTGAAACTTAAAAAAGTTTTTAAACCAAATACCAAACAGTACATTAGATAATAAAGTAAATTACAGATTTGGTTCTTATGGTTTACACTTTTTACCCACAATGGTCCCAATAATCAAAATAAATACCTTTAGAGGAAGGGACTTAATGAGTGCAAAAATACCTATATCTGTATTTATTTTGAATTTGGGACTACTGTGGGTAGAAAATGTAAAACACAGGGACCAAATCCATAATTTACTCTAGATAATAAGATATAGAAGTATAAGTTTAAGTAATTTACTATAACTAATTAATGGGCTCAATCATTTGAGAACCCACATATTTGTTTTACAAAGTGTTCGTTTCATATGTATTCGGTTCATAATATGAAACTTTTTTAGTTGTCTTTTTTTTATATATGTTCACATTATGAAATGAATATATGCAAAACAAACACATTATGAAACAAATATATGTTTATTTGTATGTTAAATTCAAGCCTCAAATGGGAAAAAAAATCACGTAAAATAATACATAATACACTAGCTTTCAAAGTTATCACAATTTTTTGGGTTCTCAAATATAGGTCCCCCAACTAATTAATATACAAATATTATATTTACTTATTAAATGAGAACATAAATTTAACTAATTTACTTATATATATATATATATATATATATATATATATTAAAATTGGTTATAATTAACAAATATATGTCAAATATATAAAAATGTTATAATTTAGCATTAATCGAATGAATATTATAGTATTATTATGATGAATAGTGAAATTTTAAGTAGTGTTAAGTTCTAACGTTAATCATCATTATTTAACATATATTTATTAATTATAATTTAACAATAACCATTTTTAGAGTATATTGATTAATGAAATTTATTTTTTAATATCTTATATTTTGTATATTAATTAATTTTAGTAAATTACTTAAACTTATACTTTTATACATTATTATCTAATATATTGTCGGGTCTTTACTTTTAAAACTTTCTTTTTTTGAATTTCAACTAATTAAAACAAAACATTGTTGCAAAAATATTTTAATTGAACTAAAAATTTCATGTAAGTAATGTTTCTGCAAAGATAAATATTTGATGACAAAATCTAAGTTTCAAGTTTTATTTAATTATTTTTTTCATTATATTTTGATTATATATGTTTGTGCTACCAAATTTTATTGATTAAAATGAGGGATGAAATCCTAAAAGTAAAAGCTGAGGAAAGTACCAAATTTGTTATAAATGAAAAGTAGTTTGAGGAATCAAATATATCATAAAAATAAAAACTAGTTTGAAGGACCAAATCCATCTTAGAAAATGAAAGTTGAGGGAGAGGGGGTTATGGAGAAAATAGCCGCTCATTAATGGAAACTTAATTGAGAAAGTTAGTAAAGCATATAAGAATCCCCCTCGTTAATGATTCTTTTCAGAGAAATTATTCGTTAATTTATGTAAACCACAAGGACCAATTTTGCATTTGATTCATTAGTTTATTTAGAGGTCGTTTAACAAATGTTTACCGGGTAAACACTTATCAGTAACAGAAATTACCACCACTTACCTTATCATATAACATTTTCAGCCATAAAAATGAATTATTGGTAAGCATCTTAAACATCTTATCAAGTAAAACTCTTGGTTCATGCTATGTTTCTTACCGGGTAAGATTTTTAGTACTTTTGTAAGGTAAGTGATAGCGATAAGCACTTACCCAATATGCATTTAATAAACAGACCTTTAGTGTTCTTAGTTTGTAATGATCAATTTCACCTTATCATTTTCAGTTAATATAACATTGCAGCATGAAGAACGTTGCAACAAGGATACGAAATTATAATTATGATGCATTGTGACGGTAAGCTTCAAGATCATTGGAATGAAGTTGTTTTATGGACCATGCTTACGATTTCAATTTTTTAAAAACAAAAATAATATACATTCTAACGTATGGGTTTTCTAAGTTTTAAAAACGAAATAATATTCATTTTGATGCATCCGTTCTCTTATAACCATGAATGTTCAAACCAACATTATAGTTGCATCCAACTAAAAACCACCACGAACGGGTGACCTTGATCTTTCTTGCACTGTCCAACAAGCAATGCATGAGATACAAGGTTACTACTGCATAACCCGCAAAAAATTAAGTACATAGCATACCAGAGTTCATTCTTATAAATATATACGACTCTAAAACAAACATACCAAAAAGAAACAGAAAAACACACATGGTGCGTGCCACAGAAAAGCACACAACTTATTGTCGAATTCGCACCCTTACCAAACCAACTTATTAACACAACATAAGTCTTGCTTTAATATAGAGATGACTAACTACAGTACTCACTGGGTTAACTCACTCGACTCAGTTGCTCACTCAGACTGTATGCATACAGCTCAAATGAAGTCATCCATCATCCAAAGATGAGCCGACTCATCACTGAGCCCACCAAACTGAGTCAACTCATGATCAAGACCTAAGAAGGTCTCCAAGTTCGAGATCTGTTCCTTGAACTCATATTCATCAGCCACACTGCTTGGGTGGTAAACTTGGTTTTGGAACTGATTATAATCCAGCAATGCAGGTGGTGATGGTGGTCCATGCATGGCCAACTGAGTTGACTCAGTGGGGGGCTCGACGCACAGCTTCTTAGCGGGTGGCATGGGAAAGTTGAGCTTTGCCTTATCACCTCGGATACGCTTGGCGGCATCATCATAGGCTCGAGCCGCTTCTTCAGCTGTGTTGAATGTGCCGAGCCAGACTCGGACACCCTTCTGTGGGTCCCGGATCTCGGCTGCCCATTTTCCCCATGGCCGCTGCCTGATCCCTCTGTACTTGTTCTTCCTGGGTTTTGCCTTGTTCTCACTCGGCTTCCGAGTCCTTTCGTCTCTTGGCTCTGCAATTTCAGTAACCAATTATTTTAATAATTTATGAAATTGAAAAATAAAATTGTGCATATCTTCGTGATCATCAATAAGTATTTTCAATCATTCAAGGATACGGATAATTTTAAATAACAGAAACAACATCAATAATTGGATTGTATTTCAAGTTGTTATGCATTCAATGTCAAATTCTGACTTTCAAATTACAAGTTGTTGTTTCATTATAAACTCCATTATTTTTTATGTATCTAAAACCATATTATCTGGATTTACTATGATAAACAGGAGATATTTTGGAACGCAAGAATGTATAGAGTTGTCTATTTTTTTTCTTTTTACCCCCAATTTTTTCGATTTTATCTATGGATTCAATGAATAAACAGTGCCAAAAAGTTATACTGTATATAGTAAAAAGGAAAATAAGGTGATAAATTCGTCATAGAACAGAAGTAGAACACTATATTGCCTTGTATATCTTTTTAGAATGGCACCGCTTGAAAGTGTCCCTCTATAACATCAAATTCCATATTTGATCTCAAATTTTCCACACTAGACGAACAATTTACAGAAAAATCTAGTAACCGGTTCAATATTCGTAAATCCAGTGATTCGTACGTCATTAAATTTAATAAAAAAAATGCATTCTAGTTTCAATTTGCTTAAAGTGTGGCTTTACTTTTCTCTGAAGATACTCGCTGGAAAAAAAAATCAGAATCAAGCAATAACACATAAAGTGTTGATTAGTTGAAATAGTAGAAATAGTACAAAATAAATGGAGATTGCACTGGACAATGGCGTGTTATCCTATGCAACCGGTTCAATGTCCTTCCAGCGAAGCATCAGATACATGTATGTACGTATGTGCTTAATCGAAGTACGACAGAGTTGATACCTTTGGTGATGAATTTTTTGCGGTCTGAAATAGTTTCGTTCTTGGTAGCAACTTCAGTGGCGTAACAGAGTGTTTGTGGTTTGAAATCCCAGCCGTAGAGATCAGAGGCGTCGAACTCAGACCAGAGATCATCGGCAGTCAGCTTCCGGTCACGATTGAAGACCGGATCGGCGTCGGAGATGAGAGCTCCACCGCACATTTTCGGTGTTGTTAGAGAGAGAAAGGGAGAACTGCAGGAGGCTTGATGAAATTGTTCATTTATAGCGGACGGTTATAAAGTAATGAGAGGAAAAAGACAAATAAAGCTTCTTTTAAATCTCACCATTTCTATTTCCTTGTTATATTTAATTATTATTTAAATTTACAAAAATCATGTACTATTATATAATACAATATTTAATTTGATAATAATTTATTAAAAATTTAAAATTAAGAAGTACTGAATAATAAATTTAGAAAATATCATGTACTATTAATAATATAATATTTAATTCCATAATAATAATTTATTAAATATTCGAATTAAGAAGTTTGAGACTATGTTAGATGAATTGACGGTGTTTCCTATTTCTTTTATTCACATTATTATTTTAAAGTGTTTTATAATATCATCTGATTTATCAGTTGATTAATTTTAAAGGATGTTTATTAAATGTTTATGTAATAAATATTTACCGGGTCATTTATCTTACCAGATGAATATGGCAATGGTCAAGAATTTTACTAGATAAGTAAGGGTGATGATTCTTACCCGGTAAGAGCTTATTGGATGAATTGTTGCATACAATACTGTTTTGATGAACTATAATTTTATCCGGTAAGTTAAAGTGTTTACTATTACTGGTAAATCGTCTTACTTAAATTCTTAAAAACCGACAAAAATAGTTAATACCTTTTTTTTGTTAAATAGTTCTTCCATTTATCTTTTTTTAAGTTAAAATTTTAATTAATTAATTTGATTAAAACTAAAAAAAAAAGGTTATGTACATTGTGGAGTATTCAAATGATAAACTCATTATTTATGAAAACATCATTAAAATTGAATAATATTTTTGTAATCTTATTTTTAATTTTTTAAACGAAAATATTATTTATGATATGACGTTTAAAGATGAAACATCAATCCAGGTGATGAAATGTGATAAGCCCGAAAATGAGGTCTAAAAGGAAGTGGTTAAACCGTACAACATGACTAACAAAATGTGTGACGCAATAAAACATCCGTTACGTTATCAAGCTTTAACGGTTTACGTTATAGACTTTTTTTCGTAACCGTTTGTTTTATCTGTTCTTTAACGTATATACTTTAACGGATACACTTTTATGTGGTTTGGACAAATTTCATGTGGTTGAAACACAATACAACCCTTTTAAAAAATTGACTGGGCATTTTCATACTTGAAAACGGTTCCTTTATGTTACAGAGTATTAACATGTGATTGTTGATTTATCGTTATGTATATATCGTTTAATTATTTGTGAAGGTTGTATATTGTAATAACTGTGAGAGTTGTTATTAGGGGTGCTTATGAGTTGAGTTGCTCAGGTTAAAGGCATTTGAATAACCAAACTTAATGTTTGCTGTTTGGAAAATCTCAACCCGAACCAAAGTGCAACCCAAACCATGTGGGTTGGTTGAGTTGATACTTTAGTACATCAAAATATTTTTTTAACCTTAAATATGTTGGTTTCTTATAATTCATAGTTCATTTATCATCATGAATCATTTAGTACAGCTTATCTATATTTCTTAAATTTTAAGTATATAATATTCAACTACTTTTCTCAATTTGCATATATATATATATATATATATATATGTGTGTGTGTGTGTGTGTGCGCGCGCGCGTGCGCACGCAGTTGGGTTCCAGTGAGGAAGAGAGATTAGGTTAGAAGCATAAGAATGGATCTTCACCATTGGATGCACATTAGGATGAGAAGCATCGGATTAATCCTCGTATCAAACTATTCATGGATGAGTTTGAGATTAAAAGTGATAAAGGTTCTAGATCCCTTCTTACGTTTCTCACATTTAATTCTCCTTTTCAGACGATCCTTCGCTTGTATATATATAGTTGGGTTCCGGTGAGAATAAGGTTATGATGAGAAGGGTGAGAAGAGATCTTCATCCTTGGCTGCACATTAAAATTAGATGCATCGGACCAATCCTCATATCAAACGTAATTCATGAGTAGATTTGAGATTAAAAGTGATATCTTCATCCTTGGCTGCACATTAAAATTAGATGCATCGGACCAATCCTCATATCAAACGTAATTCATGAGTAGATTTGAGATTAAAAGTGATCAAAAGTCTAGATCCCTTCTTATCTTAATTCTTCTTCTTACAATCCTTCGTTTCTCTCTCTCTCCCCCCTCCCCTCTCTCTCTCTCTCTATATATATATAGGTCCAATCAATGGAGAACTCGATTGTTTGTGATAGCTGTAAGATTCAATCTCAACCACACATTATTAATAATCAATGGTTATTATTAAACATATTGGTATTGGTAATTATTCATTAATTTTCAAATAATTTAAATTTACGGATAATATATAGGGTAAATTAGTCTTTTTCAAATCTCTCTCTTCTCCCCCCCCCCCCCCCTTGACCAAGAATTTCTAACAGTAAAACACAAAACGAATATGATACACATTATACCCAATAATTTATAACAGTAAGACACAAAACCGATTATGATACACATTGTGATAATGTTTTGAACATGGGTTGATAACATATGTGATCTGAGTTTTAGGCCACACACAACCACAATGTGATACACGACCATAATACACGTTTTAGGTCTCCGACGAGATATGGGCTTAGCGCATCATCGAAATCTTCGACAAGATCGTATTGTGGTGCACCGTAGAGGTTTCCAACGAGATCTGTTGTGGTGAAGCAGTCGAGGTCTCCGACAAGATCTCAGCTTTAGCACATCATCGAAATCTTCGAAGAGATCATGTTGTGGTGCACTGTCGAGATCTCCTGCGAGACCGGGGCTTTAACGCATCATCGAAGTCTTCAACGAGATCGTATTGTGGTGCACCATCGACATCTAGGCAACACAATGTTCATCAAGTTGTGAAGACGAATGGGAAGAACGAGATGGGTATGTATATAACTCCATTTTTTATTTAATTCGTCATAAGGTTTTGATTTTATGGTATGATTCAAACAATGTAGAGAAGGTTTGAAGAATTAGGAAACGATAATCTATAAAATCAATTTTGTTAAACCGAATTCTTGATTGATAACTATTAAATAAGAAATATATTTAAATTATAATTAATCATTTTATTAAAACACCATTTACATATTAATTAAGGTAATACAATTAATATCATAAAATGATTGGCTCATATTGGACCTCACGGTTACCACAAACTAATTAGTTTTCATTTGATTAGTCCCCCAACCCGGCGAACTAAACCCTATGCAAAATAACTCAATCGGAAGTAACTCGATTTCTAATTGATTTGTAAAATCTTCAAACCGTATGTATTAGATACAGTCATTTGAACCCAATCCGATGAACCCGATATTCTTTTTTTAATTGGATTAATAAGTACATTAGACAATTACACCATTACATACCCTCTTCATATACATATATTTTTATTCTCTTGTCCATCACGATACAATTCTTTCGTATATATGTCATAATATATATATATATATATATATATATATATATATTTGTCAAATACTTTATAATATAGTATAGACATAGATAATCCATTGAACATATCGACAACCAAACTCATTATGAACATGTTTTGCGATGTGATAATTTAGTTTCTGTCTTAGGAGTTTTGTTGTTTCCAGTTCTTTAATTTTACATTTTAAAATGGATAAATTACTAATTTTGGTTACTATTTTTATTCGTTCACATTTTTTACATAAATCAGGGTATTTATAGGACCACACGGTCTATCATTCAGGACATATGACAAATTTGCATTCGTCTTACTGGACTCCACTCTCAAGTACGATAAACTTAGTTCGTTATGTATAGTTTACTATAACTTTTTGAACAAGAAAGAGAACATATTATAACTTTGTAAAAGAAATTTATTCTAAAAAATATAAAACATGTTAGACTAAATTATGTTTTTAGTCCCTGTGGTTTGCTGAATTTTTTTATTTTCGTTCTTATGGTTTTGAAATTATAATATCCATCTCTATGTTTAAAATTCATTACCTTTTTCGTTCTTATGATTTAAAATTTATTGCATTTTTGGTCCCTATGATTTATAATTCATTTCCATTTTAGTCATTTTTACTTAAAAGTAATGTTTTGGCCTCAGAGACGAAAATAAAAATGAATTACAAACCATAGTGATGAAAACCAAAATTTTGAAACCACAAGGACAAAATTCACAACTTTTAGCAAATATGTAATTTGCGTTCCAAGCTCTACAGTGAAAATCTATTTAGAAAAAGTTGTACAGTAAAATAATAGTTAAATAAAATGACAAAAAAATCCCATCACATGAGGGACACATGAGTTACTTAACGGAGCTTAAGTTAACAGAGTTAGGTCAAAGGAATCAATTCAAAACAAAAACGAAACCACGATGACCATACATATAATTATTTTGTTTAGGGAATGAAATCTATAATTTGTATAAAACCATAGGGACCAAATTTGTAATTTACTCTACATATCAATACACAACTTTTGAAAACAAAATGGGAAAATTACAGCAAAAATGAAACTAACTTTGACTTTATTTCTATTTTGGTAACAAATTTTCAAAATTATCATTTAAGAATCAGAATTAAAGTTTACGTTTATTTTAAGAGTTTGATTGACCTGTTGACATGATAAATGATAACACAGTAAATCTCATTTTTTGTTTTTCATTTAAATCAACTTATTTTTTTGAAAGAAGACATATAAGATGTCCAAACTTATTTCTTTTATCAAATAAAAATCATGACTTTATTTACATTTAAAAGAAAAAGGTCACGACTCATGATCACATTAAAAAGGTAAAATAAAAAAAAAGTACGACTTTATATTTCTTTAAAGTAATTATATATTCGTGTTTCAGTATGTTTTATCCTCTAAAGTTAAAAACAATCTTGATATAATTGGTTTCGACCTAATTCAATCTTAAACATAAATTACTAGCGGGTTATCATTGGCATGTTGAACTTATCCATTAATGGGTTATTTACGTTGTGCTCTCAGTATTTGGAAAAAGAATAAATGAAAGAAAATAAATTATGTTTTTAAATAGGAACGATGGGAAAAGATGTTATTTTTATAAATATATTTTTATTTATTTTTATAATGATTTGTAATTGATGGATATATGTATAATTTTATAAAAAATTGTTATTATTTATCTTCTTCTCTTTCCTCCACGTTAAGGATTAATGTTTTTAGAAGGAAAAGGAAAATTAACAGTATGAAAAGTTGTATTTACTCTAATCAAGTAATGCTTTATTTATTTGATTATAAATACAAAAAAAAAAAAAAAAAAATTCTAAAACTCATACTCATTGTCTAAAAACCTTAAGGTGGCGTTTGGTTCATAGATTTTGAAGGACTCTAATGAAATTGGAATGATGAATTCATTTGACCACATTCCATTCTGTTGTTTGATTCGTTCTTTTTATCGGAAGGACTCTCCAAATTCCATGAATGAAGGAATTTGACATTTCTTTGACCACATTCCATTCCGTTGTTTGGAATTGGAATCTGTTTTTTATACAAATTTGTTTCATGCGATATGAATTACCTTTTCATCAACAGATTTGTTTTGGGTTTAACAAGTTGTTAAATGAATGTTTTTGCTAGATGAATTACCCTTTATTAACAGTTGTAATAACACAGGGACAGACCAAAAAAAATCAAACGGTGGTACCATTTGACTATAAGAAAAAAATCAAATGATGACACCGTTTGACTATAAGAAACAAATCTACTATTTTTTTTTTCAAAAGGTAGCATCATTTAACTAAGAAAATGACATTAACTGGATTCGAACTTGGGTCTGAGGTGGAATAAAAGTCTTGCAAACCAACTCTATCGAATAAAATTTATTCTCATTGTAGTTTCAAAATACATACTGTGGCACACAACAAATTATTAGGTTGCACCTTTCACAAACCTAATTTTTTTACCCTTTGACGGAGGAATAATACGGTGGCACATCGCCACTATAGGTGTGTCCTTGTAATAACATATTCCTAATGTGGTCTATAAACAGGAAATGGCCCGAATTAGTCTCACAACACGCAAACGTAGGATTCCGTGATTGTTTTTGGAAGAAGCTATGAACGCTATTACTTGGTTTTTCATTCCAGTTTGTTGTTTAGTAGCCAAACATAGAAGGGATAGACTCCGTATTCAATATTCATTGTCAAATGTCATACTTAGAGATAGACTTGAAAAAGCATCGGACAAGTTGGTGCAAGTTGAGAAGGATTTACATCAAAAAACTTTCATGGTTGGTTCTGAACTTGCCAAAATGAATCTTACTTCAATAGAAAAGTTTACAGCACTAAGAAAAAATAACACGTGAAGTTGAATATGTGTTGAACTTTTGGAACTATGACGGAGAAGCTTAAGAAGAGTTTGTAAGGTATATTTTGCAAAAATGATTGTGCTTGATGGTTTAGCTCTTTTTTTTTTAGAATTGTGATGTTTAATGGCTTTTGAAACATGTGTTTAAACGTGCTTTGGTACTTTGGCGTCTTTGAAATCGATTTTTATTGACCAATCAGAATTGTCTCTCAAGATCTATAATTACCTCAGAAGATCCAATATGTACATGGTTGGACTTTTTAAATGATAGTCAAGAAGATCTTTATGTAGGATTGTTTAATAATTGTGGCATGTAAGTATTTTGAGCATGTTTGATGGATTTTGAAACAATTTTAATGTCATTTGGTTTATGGTTATATTTTGGTTGTGTATTTTATATTGTTTTACACATTAAAATATTTAATGATTTTTGGGAAAAGTCTAAAAAAACTCAATGGACTTTAGTGTTTGGAATGATTAAGTTCTTGGACAATTTTTTGGAACAAATAAGTCTTTGAACATTCCAAAACATGTTAAATAACTTCTTGGACAATTTTTTGGAACAAATAAGTCCTTCGACAATTTAAAAATGTTAAATAACTCATTGGACAATTTTTTGGAACAAATAAGTCATTGGACAATCCAAAACATGTTAAATAACTCCTTGGACTTTTTTTAAAACTTGTTGGATACATTCTTATAACTTGTACAACTAGTTAATGTGGTAAAATAGTGGAAAAAAAAAGTCCGGAATAAAACCCAATAAACATTTATATTTTGAACGATTAAGTCACTAAACATTTTTTGAACTAAAAGGTATTTAGATCTGTAAAATTAAACAAATATAATAAAAAAGTACTTACATTTACAAAAAAAAAATTACATTTTAAAATAGAGTTTTGATATAATTTATTTTAATTTAAATTAAAATATATTTAATCAGTAATTCTTTTTAAA